TTTCTCATTGTTCCAGGTTTTAGTGTCGCTGGTGTAACATTATCGGTCGAAAAAGACAAAATAATTCTCTACCTTCAAGAGTAAAGTGCTCTTTAAACGTTTGTTCTGACAAAACTGAGAGTTGTTCCGGATTGTTCTGTGTCTATTTCTCATTGTTCTAGGTTTTAGTGTCGCTGATGTAACATTATCGGTCGAAAAAGACAAAATAATTCTCTACCTTCAAGAGTAAAGTGCCTTTTATATGTTTGTTCTGGTGAAACTGAGAGTTGTTCTGGGTTGTTCTATTCGTTTTTAGCTTAAATATGTAATTTGGTGTCAAAACATAATATAATAATAGCGATAAATGTAAAAATACTATTTGGACGCTTAATGCTATTTTTTGCTATATCTTTTTAAATTCTTTTTTAGGGGGATTAATATTTTAGAACAATGTTTAGAACAATTAGAACAATCCAGAACAGCAAAAAAATTTGAATTTAAAAAAATGGGTGGCCACAAAAATAAATCGTTTTTTTGCTTTTCCCGTCATGTTTTTCGATTTTTTTGTTCATAACTTTGGAACAATATAGAACAAACGTAGAACAACCTGGAACAACTAAAAAAATATTCAAAATCAAAAAATGGGGGGCTAACTTCATATAGGCGAAAATTTGTCATCCTTATCTTTTGTGCGCGCGATAAAAATTTCATCTGCAAAATATCAAGAGTCTCTAATAAAATGTAAAATAATATCTTCGGTAGAGCCGTAAAACAATTATTTGACATTATAAATTTTTGTTTTCGGAACATCTGATTTATGTAATACGCATCCATCGCGAAGGTGTGGTTTTCGCAAGATTATATAACACCGGCGGGAAGCAGGAGTACAATCATAATTTCTCGCGCGTCTCCAAAGTCGCGGGAAAGCACCGGCGTGGAATTATGTTTCTATGCTGGGAATAATGGTTGCGGCGAGCGACCCGACCGCGGTGGCAATAATTTAGTACGTGGCCGGAGTCGCCAATTAAATTTCCTCGACGGACTCGCACGGCGACGCGATATTCATGCGCCGCGAGGCGAGCGTGGCCGAGACCGCGCATTAAGTAATTTCACATGACGTCGCTTGGTCATAAACGCGACTTTAAGCGTATCGGCGTACATAGAGGGTGGGACGAGGACACGAGAGTGGTCACAAGGCCAACGCTGTCAGTGACGGTGTATATTATATTGCGCGTGTCTACACAGATACATTGTACATGTATGCACCGGCAGTGTTGGGCGCCTTGACCAGACGCAAACACGACGGTGCAACGCTCGAAACACATACACACACACCCACACACACACACACACACATAATAAATAACGTATCTATATCGCATAAATTTCGTGCGCATCCGTATCGAGATAGATGAGCTGCGAAAAAGGACAGTGGAAAAAGACGAAGACGAAGAAGAGCGACAGAAAAAGTTGAAGAAGAAATAACAAAGAAATTTTATTCTTCTTCTATTAATTTATTAAATTATTATTATTATATTATATTTTGTACTTTTTATTAAATTCATCATTGTTGTTTCTTTTATACTTTCTTCATTAACTTTAGTTATTCATTTTTGCATTTCTGCAAAACATAAAATCCCAATAATCTATGCTTGCATATGTACCTATATCAGTCTTTTAAATATTCATCGAAACAGAGCGAGAGAGCGAGAGAGAGAGAGAGAGAGAAAGAGATCCGACCTACACCAATGATCCAAGCGTTTGCGCTTCTGAATTCTTAAAGATTGCCTTTAAAAGTTGATCATGCTTGTCAGCATGTTAGTTACAAAAAATCTCGGTGGCTATGCAAATTTTCTTCAACAGTGTTTTGCGGAATCGGGACTTGAGCGAGGCGTAAAATTTAAAAACGGTTACGTACAAGAGACTCGTATTTTGCTTGAAATTATTAGCTTTCGAGCTTTTCGCGACGTATGCACACATGTATGGGTGCAGTGGACAGAAACTCGATAGCTCCGCGAACGTAAAACGAAAGAAACTCGCCAGCAGGTCTGTCCGTCGCTCACGATATCTCCACGTGACTTCGTAATTACTGAGCGCAAAATTCATACCGATACGCCTTCGTACTTTATCGAGGCGCAGAATAGCATACGAATTATGGAAAATTAATATCTCGCGATTAAAAGGCACAAAAATATCAACAATTTATTACGATAAAGAAACGTATTATCGTTTAGCAACGTTTATTTAAACTCGCATTGTGTATTCGATTACACTATCACAAATTCGGAGTCCCATTGCGCGGTAACGCGATACCTCGGGATGCAGTCGTCATTATCAGTACCCGGCAACATATGCACGTTGCGAAACTATTCTCGAACCGTAGGAGGAGGATGAATATTTATGCTCGCGAGAAGAAGCGCCGACAGCCTTGAAAACGACGATAAACCGTTTGGCTGCACCGTTTCGATGCATTCCATGTCGCCGGGCATGGAGTTGCAAGACGCGACAGCTACTCGGCGGTAAATTCTACGATGATAACGAAGTGGACTGAGATAATGAAGGTGAGTTAGTTACAAGTGTGAGCTCTCTACTCGCGATAAAACGGATCGTATATCAACGCGGAGCGCTTGTTGGATTAATAAACGTAGATTTCTATGTGAAACCCAAACGTGCCTGACTGTCCATTAAGGAATTGAAACGCAATACGCAATTAATTCGAGCTTAGGAAGAGCTCGTTTAATAAAGCTGAGTGCAATATATAGTAGCGCGCCGTACATAATACTTGCTGAAATTTGCATGATAAATTAGCGTCAATTCACGGGCATAGCTCGTCGCCGCGGAACCACTCCATTAGCGGATCGGGCATTAAAAGCGCGAATTTCTTTTTTTCCCCTTTTTTTTGCTCGCCAGCTACCACCCGTCCCACCTCGCCCCCGTTTTGTTTCCCGTGAGAGCCGGCTTTTAAAGCCGTCCACTCATTCCGTTCGTTCTTCCGTTAAAAGCAGATGCGCCGATAAGAGCACGGAAAGTCACATAAAAGTACTAATACTTGTTAAAATTGCGGAGCATTGTGTAACAGTGCAATGTCTCGGCGGTTCAATGGACAAACGGTGTTGTGTATTCAAGACGGATATACCTTATCTGCCGGAGATTAATAACCTTTGATAATTGAACGATAACGAGCAGTGCGGATGCGCTCGAGGTGCTAATTTGTACGCAAAATTGCGCGTCAGGAAAGAATGAATTGCTCGCTAAATCGTGAAAGTCACCGAGCGGAAATCGTCCATCCATCAACAGTCAGAGAGGTTGGTTTTAACCGCACAAAGTTGCAATTTTAAAAAATTGTTTCCTTTCTCAATTAAATAAAATAATATAAAATTAAAAGTCAAAAATTTTGCATTGCTGAATAAATATTTTAGAAAGAGATAAATGTGTGTGTAAAGTGTTAAAGAATAGAAATTTGATGTCGGTAATATAATAATGTAAAGTTATAATGAATAATTAATATCATATTGATTCGTCGTATTAATATATCCGAACTAATAGTCGAACTTGGCTGCAAAACGATTCGAAGTCGCGTTTAATCTATTTGCGGAAATTTCCTGCATGCGTCCGTACGACGGCGCGGCTCCCGGCGATGACATTGAGCTCGTACAGCAGCCTCAAATGAGTAATACGAAAATGCACGAACACGCCACAGTTCGTCATACCGCGCTAACTTTAGATCCGTGTAAAGTCGCCGGTGTGCAGAAGCGCTGAATTGAGCGAATACTTGAATGCGCACGGTTTACATTGCGTATATGTATGTATACAGGGCGTGTCCCACTTTTATCTGTCGTTACGACAGATACAATCAATACAAAATCGATCTTTCGTGAATAGAAATGCCGATGCACTTACAGTTTTTAAGTAATCAATAAAACAGCAGATAAGAAGCTTCCAGTTTATTTTAATCAATGAAAAAAAGAAGCAAAGGTATATTTTTCAGTCAAATGTCAAATAAATCTTCATATATTAATTTGACATATATTAATGTTATCTTTATTTTAAATATGTATAATGGAATATTTATTATAAATATATAAAAAATTGCAGAGTTGCAGAGAGATGATTTTTTTTCAACGTTTACGATAAGGAAAAATTGTCTCCGAGTCGATGTAAAAAATTCCAGCTAAAGGAGCATCCGGTGATCTTACAACATTTTGTATATATATGCATTTCAGACGGCAACGACGACGAGAAGTCGTTCTCCTTTTTGCATTATGCTGAATCGCGACAGATACGCGCGTCTTGACGCGATGTGATGCGATGCGGCGCGCATGTGACGCCCAGCGTCGTGTCAGTTACTCATCGCGCGGATATGCAATTCAGCATATTTCGACGGCGGATGTCTGATAAACAATGCCGATGCGCGTCCGCTCGGTCTTTATGGCTCTCTCGAGATAACTCCGGAATCTGATTCAGAGAGATACGACAGTTATTATCGCACTTTCAGTCCGACGCGTTATTTGAATATATACACTCACCCGAAAAAAAAGCGGTACACTGAAAATGTGGGAAAAATTCATCAAATTTCAACTGACGATAACTTCGTAAATAATAAAGATAGAAAGTTCTATAAAATATGGAAATGAAGCTAAAAATCTCTACTTTAAGAATCAATTTATTTCAATGTTGCAAAATAAATTTATTGAAAATGGCGGATGACAAAGCGCGAGCATGCAAAATTGAAAAATAATGGTTCGAGTTTGCGACGGTGCACGGTATAAACAAAAAATTGTAGCTTATTGGGATCAAAAGCGTACGAAAGTACAGAGTCTCCTCTTTAAAATGCTTTTTTATGCATCTCGATACGATGATTTTTCGCCGAGAGATTCGCATTTGAAGAAAAAGGCAGATTCTTACTTCTAGGCCTCTCACTTACAGTACAGTCTGCAAATCGTTCTCCAACGCGACGGTATACTCGTTCTCGTCCGTCTGAAGAATACAGACAAAAACGAGATTCGTCGCTAAAAAGACGGTACTCCATTCTGCATATGTCCAGCCTGCATGCTCGACAGCAAAATTGAGTCGAGTTACGCGATGGCGACGCATAAGCGAAGGTCATTT